CAAAGAAGCACAAAATCACTTTCACAGACTTTTACATTAAATGTTCCCTTATGGTGGAATGACCTGCCCAACTCAATCCCTAAATCGGCTAAAAACACATCTCTTCCATCTTTATTTGACCCTCTAACTCTAGCACTCTCTATTCTAATTCTATTCTTAAAAAAAAAAAAAACTTGTCCCTTTTAGACTTGCACTCTATTCATTTGCTGCTTGTTTTCTAACACTTGCTTTCTAATCTTTTTGTATTGTATCTGTTTTTTTTCTCCATTTATTATACAATTAACAAAAGCAAAAAAGACCTCTAACACTAGCTTGCTCTATTCTTTTTTTTCTATATATAAATACACACAGTATATATTTTGAAAATATTTACATGTATTTATATGTCTATATTTATATTCATATAATTTGTATTATAAATATATTTAATATATAAACATATATTTTTCTGAAATATACAGGTGCATCTCAAAAAATTAGAATATCGTGAAAAAGTAAGTTCTTTTTTTTGTAGCTTATTTCAAAAAGTGAAACTTTCATATATTCTAGATGCATTACATGTAAAGTGAAACATTTCAAAGGTTTTTTTATTTTTTTTATTTTGATGATTATAGCTTACAGCACTATTGAGTCTTGAGCTCGGACCCACTGTTTCTCATCTTTCTCTTGAAAATATCCTATAGATTCCAGTACCCTCTTTGTGGAGGGTGTCAATGATTGTCTTCTGGACAATTGCCAAGTCAGCAGTCTTCCCCATTATTGTGGTTTCAGAGAACGAGAGATACCCAGAATTTATACTGTAGGGATCGTCAGTTAATGAAACTCAAATGTAAATATTCTAATATTTTGAGATACTGGATTTTTGACTTTCATGAGCTGTAAGCTCTAATCATCAAAATTAAAACAAAAAATCTTTTGAAATGTTTTACTTTACATGTAATGAATCTAGAATATATGAAAGTTTCACTTTTTGAAACAAGTCACAAAAAAAAGAACTTATTCACGATATTCTAATTTTTTGAGATGCACCTGTATACATGCATGCGTGTGTATTTATATATACTTAATAAATATACACAGCACACATACATATATTATGTAAACAAAAACTTTTATTTTGGATGTGATTAATCGACAGCACTAGTTGGAAAAGATGCATTGTGATACAAATGTCAACTTATATCCGATGCACACTTTTTGTAAATCGATGCATCACATCGTTAACTTTTATGCCGATGCACTGAGCGAATCAGTGAATCTTACCATCTCTAACACACACACACACACACAGTTCACACAGACACACACCTCTGACACGCAGCGCTGTGCTCCTCTTCATTCAGTTATAATATCTCCTCCAGATGGCCACTTTCTTCAGCAACAACCTGGATTTCTTGGCATCGTGTCCCGGCTACAGTCCGCGAGGATGCTTCCTAAACCCGCGACAGGCCGACAGCGTGATGGAGAACAAGAGACATGCTGCCACCTACATGAGCACCATCAGAAAGGTCTTCATCACTCACACACAGACGTCTGGACTCCTAAAGCAGAGCTCTGCAGTCATGAGACCCCCACACAGGATGGGATTTTTACATAGTTATACAGATTTTCATCGTTTCTGACCTGAAAAAGTATGACTAGCATGAATTGGGGGAGAGGGAGGAGATAAAAGCAGAGCGGGACTCTAAACCCATGTTTGTGTGCAGTCCAGTCTTCAGACGCAGTGAATCGAGTCGTTGTATTGTTCACTTGACTGAGAGTTGTGTTTTCATGTGTTCAGGTGCGGTCAGAGTCTGTTTCGTACAGAGAAGCGTTAGCAAACAGACAAGTTCTGACGAGCTCTACGGAGAGCAGAGAGGGACTCATGCAGCAGGTATATGTGCAGACGCGTCTCAGACCGTCTGTCTCTCTGTCTGTCTGTCTGTCTGTCTGACGGTGCGTGTGCTCGTCAGGTGGCTCAGAGTCAGGAGAAGATCTCTCGTCTGGAGCAGGAGAAGGAGCACTGGCTGCTGGAGGCTCAGCTGGGGCAGGTGCGTCTGCAGAAGGAGACTCAGCGCATCGCTCAGCTGGAGGCTCAGATCACCGACGGAGGTCCAGCAGAGACACACAGCGCCGCAGACGGCCCTGATCCCGAGTGTGCTGACGCTCCAGAGCCCCTTCAGGACAGCAGCGTGGTGAGTGACACACACATTCATCTCTCAGCTCTCCCACACTCCTGTGTGTTCTGATGCTTTCATTTTTAAAGAGCTGTGCAGTCTGGTAGTGTACGGATAGTTTACAATTAATCATTCAGTCATTTATAGATTAAACTGCGCTAAGGAATCTACTCAATGAAGTTAATCACCACTTTTATATGATCCCCATAAAATCCTGTTCTTTCTTCATTCAGTCTCATTGATCATTAATGAACAAAAGCAGGCAAAACAAAATATATTCCCATATTCATTCAGTGCATTATACAAGTTCATATCATGCATTTCCATCCAAACAGAACAAATCATATGTGCAATAAACATAAAGTAACAAGTTAAAACCTCAGATAACCATAACAGAGATTACACTTACACTTTCATTAGTAAGCATGCTTTATCATCTTTTAAATCACGTCAGGTCATTCATCAGATCATGGCGTCAGCGGGAGAATCATGCTTTCAGAGCACAGATATACACTAGTCCTCTTCAGGAGCAATGCTTAACATGTGTAACACAAGAAACGCCATGCTATTCAAAGTTAGGATGCACCGAAATGGCAATTCTTGGCTGAAGCCGAAGCAGAACAAAATGAAACACTGGGCCGCAGGCCGAATACCCCACATGGTTTTTCACATTTTTTTCCACCATGTATCTTGCCAGTTTTTTTTCACCTGACTGAGCAGCTGGCGTGTAACACTGTGTCAGCGCAGGTTTTGAACCCTGGCTAACGAGCAGATAGCGCCGCACTGTCAGAACACATGCTATTCACGCGTGTATTAGGAAACATAACGTTCTGCAGTTTATGTACTAATAGTTTAAGGCTATTTGGTGATTTCAATCATCACACAGTAACCACTCTTCCTCTTCTCATCGGAGACATGAGATGCAGCGCTAAACAGTCTCTCGCCGTCGGTGGTTTTGGCGTCATTATTGCGTGCCTCTATTTGATCGCATCACGTTATTGTTCAGGACAATTTATTTGCTTATTTTCGGCCAATAATTTCAGTTGCTGAACATTGGGTGCATCCCTGATTAGGGGTGCTCCGATCAGGATTTTTGAGGCCGATACGATCACTGATACTGATCTTTTCAAAGCCTTCTTTTTATCATGTAGAATTATTTACAGTCACACTCCAATCAGGATTTTTAGACATTTATTCAGGGCTTGAATTTCATTTTTGAAAACGAATTCCCCTCTTAGGTGACTCTTGTGAGGGGGAGTTTTTTATTTGAGGGGTGGAGGGGGGCATTTTTTGACATTTTCTTTAAAAATATATATGTATCTCACCTAAATGTTTGATCATGCAGTGCATTTTTGTTTTGACAATCGTGTAATTGTTGCACAATAGCTTACACACAGCACAAGCCTGATTTGGTGAGCTGTATCAGTGCTTCCCACAGGTTTGAAAGGTAGCCGGGTGGAAAATCCTCCTATTACCCACGGCACAAAAATGGTCTACATGTAACAAATAATGTGTGATTTCTAACAATATTTAAATTTATTGAAATTCATTTTAATTACATAGGCTACTATTACATTTAAGTACATACTAATATTATGCATTATTATATGCATTGTAAATTATGCAAAATCACAGCATTTCAATGGTAGAGTTCTCCTTACTTTGTCATACAGTGTCTCTCTCAGTGAATGGGACACAGATTTCACTGATACTAGTAAAATCTATATATTGAATAATATGTGTCAAATAATGTTCTGTCTTTTCTTCCTGTGGGGAAGCATCCCAGCCAGAAACTACAATAGTTCACTAGGAATGAAATGGAAATTAAATTAAAATTAAATACAATTAATTTTGTTACCAATAATACCCCCCCCCCATACTATTGCGGGCTGATCCTTCAGATGATAGATAAAATATGCATTCTTACAACCGTCTAAAACATTATATAAAGGCCATAAAGTAGACATTGTCATAATTCATCAACTCGAGTTCATAAGAAATCGCTTGGCATAAATGTGCATTGATTGAGAATCACTTTGAAGCAGTCTGAAGCACTGTTGAGACATTTGGTGTGATCATCCTTCAAAAGTGCTCTGTTCCTTTAAACCTAGCCAAAAAGCCGTATGAGCTCCCCTATCCCTAATTCAAAGGGCAAACACCTTTTCAGTGGAGTTCATCACAGTGTATTGTGTTTGCGCTCTGAAGAAACTTTGTTTGCTGTCACAGCCAATCACAGACATGAGCTCTTGAACGCAGTAGCCAATCAGAGGAGTTTGAGTTAGTGGGGAATCCACTCAAGACCAATCAAAACACTGGAGTCTGTGTTCAGCTCAGTTCAATTTCATTTAAAATCTTTCATATTTCCTATGTGTGTCACAGAGTTCATGTGTCTTGTTTCCTTGTTGCAGGTGTCAAAAACTAGTAGTAGTTTTTTAAAATGTCCATTAGAAGGTAATGTGAACTGAACTGTGTTTAAAACCAGGTTGTGCAGTACAGGTTATATTATCTGTTATCAAATATTACTGGATGTAAAGTAAAGGCATTATTGAAATGTTTATTCTGTCTGTAATGTGTAATGATGTGTCTGTATTGTCAGATCGGGATGCTGACCATCACTCCCTGCAGCGAGAGCGTATGTATTCATGTTCATTAACCGTATCTGCACACTCACTCCTGCTGTATGAATATGAATCATGAGGTGTTGATGATGTTTGTGTGCCGTAGGCTGCAGATCAGGAGTCTCGTGAACATCTGATCAAGCATCATTACATGAGCCGTGTGTCAGAGCTCACCTCTCAGCTGCAGATGTGTGACAGTAAAGCCGTCCAGTTCCACGCTGAGGTCAGTCATCACAACACACTGACCTCTGATCGACACTCTGACCGACACACTGACCTCTGACCTCTGATCGACACTCTGACCTCTGATCGACACTCTGACCTCTGATCGACACTCTGACCTCTGATCGACACGCTGACCTCTGATCGACACGCTGACCTCTGACCTCTGATCGACACGCTCGCTTCATTAAACAAGCAGATCCATTAAAACAAGCAGGAAATTCAGTAGATGATGTTCCTTTGAAAACACACTTGGTCATGTACAGTTTCTCTGCAGTTTTAGAGCTGGGTAATATGATGATATATATAACACTGATATCTTCTGGATATCAAAAATCGTCTGGTTTTAGATCTAGATGTATAGAGTTTAGATTGTGCTCATTTATCAGTGCTGCAGTGACTCGAGTAAATGACTGAGCTGTCAAAGACAATTAAGAGACTTAAATACTGGTCAGTTTTGTTGATATTTTTTAAATAAGAGTGAACTATTATCAATATACAATAGTTGTTGTCAGAGTCTGGGCTGGGTGATATGGCCAAACATATTATAATGATGTTTTTTTCCCATATCATATGATATCAGTATTTACAAAAACTTTTTGTTCACAGTTAAACTTAGAGTAAGATACATTTTGATATAAGGCCCCATTACATTTTATTTTATTTTCCCCTAAATTTTGGTTTTCCTTTTATTGTTTTCCTGGATTTTATCATTCAATACAATACAGTTTATCAAAAAAAATTGTGAAATGAATAATAAATAATAAATAAATTTCATTGATCTTATAAAATGTGAACAATTAATTTACAAAAAACATTGCATTTGAGGCACAACAGAAGTGTAAAAATTAAAACATGGATGAAAGAATATCTTGGTTGTATGATATTCCCTAGAAATATTAATGTTTTTGCCACTTCTTTTAGAAGTACGTTTTAGTATACAATAGTAGTGTATTTCTGTCATAATTTCTTCAAGTTAAACCAGACTTTTATTTTGACGGGTTGTGGGGCAGGTTTTTCAGTTTTACTTTGTTTCAGCGTGTATATGATGGTAGTTTTGTGTGAAGTAGTGATGGGAAGTTCGGATCATTTTACCGACTCGGACCATTGAGTCTCGTTCAGCAAAATGAACGAATCTTTTTTCGAGTCATTTCGTTCATTTTAGCAAAATATAATAAAAAAAATGTTATGTGTTACTTCCCTAACACGTCTACTACTTACGCAAACGTTGATCACACTACAAACAATAAAAAACTATAATGCTATAAGAAACAGAAAAGATTAATTCATTGTTCACCTGGGTCTTCAGTCTATGATTAGCTCACCTCACCTCTTATCTGACAAGTCTTCGGGTTTGAGTCGTTCGTTCATCACGTGACAGCCCCATACACTTAACCAATGCAGTCTGAGCCAGAAAGAGAATTGATTAGTTCATCTCTCGAGTCGTTCGTTCTTTTGTCACGTGACCTGACAGACTTTCTCAGTGATAGAGAAATTAGTTAATTTACAAGCTTCCTTACAAACGGGTGCATAGTTATTATTATTATTATTATCAT